CCAAACCCATCATCGTTATTTTCTTTCCTCCAAGGTCCAAGGTAATTATTCATCTTCCCGGGAACGCTTGGATCTTGAACGATCCATCGACTCTTTTTCGCGAGAAAGAAAGAAAAGAAAAGAAAAGAAAGGAAAAGATTTCCAACGCGTGTGACTTCCTACTCTTGAAATATACGGAATCAAAAAGGAACGAAGTTCGAATTTTGTCGAGATCGAAATCGTTGAATGAAGTTTTTTTTCCCCTTTTTTTTTTTTTTTTGAATGCGGTTTTATCCTGTCACGCGGTGGTGCGTGTCGCGTAGCGGTGTGTCAAGCTTCAACGATCGTATCCATCGAAATCGAACACGCTCTGGTTGATCGTAAATACCGTTGTCGCGCTTACATGATTTTTCATGATTCGTTTAATAATTCAATCTGTTCGAATTCTATTTTCTGCTTCATTTAGAGAAACGACTTTTTTTTTTTTTTTATTCTTTACTTTCGATGACTCGATATAATTCTTCAAGGTTTCTCGATAATAGCTTCATAAATTTATCGATCGTGTCGAATTAATTAATTAACGCGACGAAGAATTAGAAAAAAAAAAAACGAACAAATATAGCGAATATACTTTTCAAATGAAATTTATCGCGTAGCGATACTTTAACACATTACAAATATTTAAATGATCCAAGATAATTAATATATATGTATACGTTATATGTTTAAGTATCGTAAAAAAAAGCGCTATTGTCATTATTCATTTAGTCACAACAGTTTCAACAATATGAAAAAATAAACCAAGAACGATAACACCGAGCAATAATGTTATCGTTACGATTGACAAATGTATTTCACGAAAAAGAAAAAAGGAAAAGAAAAAAGAAAAGGAAAATTCGCTACTATTATTTTAATCTTTATTTCGTTCGAACTCGCTTTTCCGCTTTTCGAGGGAAACGCTTGCATCGCGGAACAAGGATGGAAAAGTTTCGCGCCTCGAAAGAGCAACGTCTGGTCGTATAAATGGATCGTATGGCAAATTGTACATACATAACCGTTGTAAAGAGGTATTCTGAGCGTGTCTAACGAGCTCCTTTAATTACGTAATAAAATACACCGGTTACGTATACAGAATCTATGAATCATTGAATCATCTAATAAGTCCATTCTTCTCTCTCTTTGTCTCTCTCTCTCTCTCTCTCTTTCTATGCTCTCTTATTCGTGGCTATCTTAGATCGGAATCTGCATCACCTATCCGAGAAGAACGGTACGCGTTGTTGAACAAAATCATTAATAATACACGAATTGTACCGTTATCTCGTTGACTCTGTTTGTTCGAGCAAGAAGAGGGAGAAAGAAAGAGAGAGAGAGAGAGAGAGAGAGAGAGAGAGAGAGAGAGAGAGAGAGAAATGAGGTCGAAAAAAAAGAAGAAGAAAATTGGAAGGGAACGAAAAGGGCGAGCGGTGGACGGAACACCTCGTGGTCCCCCGAGAAGGCGAGAAATGATGTCGATGGCCGGTTGACCTTGGAAACCAACCACGAACCGAGAGTTCTCCTCGCTTTCCCTCTCGACCGCGCGCCAACGATCCGCAATCCTCCACTCTCTATTGGGATCGAAATCCATAATACGAAAGCAGGCTCGCGCAAGTTAGTCGATCGAAAGGAACGTCGATATTCTCCCAATGTACGTTGCTTTTCCTCGTTTGTTCCTCGTTTCGAGAAAACTCATCTCGAGCGATTCTTTGAAGGAAAGAGAGAAGAATCGTAATAAGGAAATATGTAAATTATTTCGAGATTCGAAAATATCGAAAAAGAAAAAGAAGAAACAAAAAAATAATGAAATGAATAATGAATGAACGAACCTGATGCTGAATGACGAAATGGTTCGCCAATTGTTCGGCGCGAGTTTGGCGCGTTGGAGGAGCAATGACTAACAGTGTGTACCGTTATCCCGAATCGTTCCTCCAACTGGAGAATGTCAATTTCAATGCGGTTTACGGTACTGAAATCGCGCGTTAGAATACACCCGATTCGATTGTTGGCAGGTTTCCTCTCGATTGGGACACTCCGTAGATTCATCTCGCGGATGATCGTCGCAAGGGCGAGAGAAAGGGTCGTTAAGAAAATTGAACGGCGACCGAAGAGGGGCCCTAAGAAGACAATGGCCCCAACGTGTCCGCCTTCGATCGTTGGTCCGATAACATTCCACGCGCAACGGTATTCGAGTGACCACGAGCCGAAACGTTTCCGGTGTATTATATACCCACTGTTGAAATCCTGGCTGCGACCTGGATACGAGACCCCGCGTCATCCTTAAAATAACTCGACCACGTCGATCGACCACGAGATCCCGTTCAGGGTGAACGACTCTTTTCCTTTCTTCGACGAGTAGATCGAATATAAAAATTCTCGAATAGGAAAATGCTCGATGCTTTCTTCCCTTTTATTTTTATTAACAATTCATTCTTCCCTCGCAGAGAAAAAGGAAGGACCATGCGGTTGCCGAGAACGTGCATCCTGCTCGGCCTGTTGATTGTGGCGAAGTGCGAGGAGGAGGCTGCCTCGACGGTGTTCCTCGAGGCGGCTAAATCTTTCTTCTCGAACAAGGACAATATCAATGGGCTTCAAGGACTTGCAAGAGCTTTCTTAGACTCGGATGGAAGGAACGAGGTAAAATCATCGCTTCCTCGTAAGATCTCGTCGTAACGTATCGATCCAAGATTTTACGTACACGTTCCGTAAAATTTAGAAAGTAGAAAAATCTTGAATTTTATCGAAGTAAATAAAATTATTAAATGGAATTGGTAGCAATTTCAAACTTTCGAACAATTAAAAAACGTATTAAAAAAGGAAAAAGAAATTATCTCAATTGCGTTTTTCAAGCAGGCGAGCAACATGTACGAAAAGTCTAATCTGGACAGCGTCGGGCAAATCGTCTCGGGAATAGGAAGTTTATTCTCGGGGAACGAAAACGGCCAAGGAGGCATCGATTTCTCGATGCTGGGATCGGTCCTCGATGGTGTGACGAGTTCGAACCAAAAGGATCGTACCGAAAGATCGTCGAAAGGCGTGGAAACGAAGCAGGATCTTGGGATCGATCTAGAGGGGATCGTGAACATTGGAAGCATGCTGATGGGTCGAAACGGTCGAAATTCCGAGTTGATAATGGGCCTGTTGCCGATGCTTCTTTCCAATTTTGCCGGCGAGAGCAACGAAATAGACGGGGCGGCGTCCAATAAAATTCACGATCACTCGGGCCATTCTTGGTACATGCCACCGATTCTGGAAAATCTGCACGTGATGTGGGATCACTTCAGTAACTCGGAGTTGGGCCAAACGTTATGGGAGAAGAGCGGTCTGGCGCAATTTGTCGGGCAAATGTCGGATCCGGAGGGGCGTATCCAATACGAGAAACTGCTGGACAGTTTCGAGAATCCAAGCTTGAGGCGAAAGTGGATACGATCTTTGACGAATTACATCGGGGAGTGGATCTCGCACATCTCTGATCCACAAATTCAACAACGTTACCTGAACACGGTTCAATTTGTGGGGAATAGTTTCTTGAAGTCGCAGGGATTTCCTAAATCGGCTATGTTCGACTCGACGAGGCCTGCAGAGAGTCTTTCTAGGTATATAATGTTATTATATTATTACTCTCCTTAAAAAAAAAAAAAAATTGAAATCTAAATCTCGTACAATAAGCGTCGTTATTTTTTCTTTTTTTTTTTATTTAACGTCATCGATCGTTCGAGAAGTCGTCCAAGATTATTTCTTGTTCTCAGAAAAAAATTAACGTGTAACGATGGTTGTTTAAAAAGAAAAAAAGAAGAAGAAAAAAGAAAAATGCATTTAGATTTTATCACGTAATTGTGTTCCGACAGGTTAGTGAATGCAATAGGAAAGAGACACTTGGGAATGAAAATGGACAGTTCGCAATATATCAAGCCGGCTGTAGCGTACATTAAGGAATTAATCGCCTTGGCTTCGGAGAAAGGGTTCATCATGTCTCGAATAAATGCCAAAGGGATCAGCAATAGACTAAGCGACATGATCAATAATGATATTATCAATCCGATATTAAAAGTAAAGAATAAATAAATAAATAAATAAATAAATGGGATAATTTTATATTTATGTAAAAATAGAATCGCAGTAAGTAAAATTGTGGATTAATTTTCAGTCTTATCGAGCGTACAAATGGGCTATCAAGAGGCCTCAATGCGCCAGTCAAATCTTGTGCACCATCAATGAGAAGAATGAATTGGATCAGGAACAACCCCGTCTACGAAGCGTTATGTCGAAAATGACTAGTTTTCCCGCTGCGTGGGCTGTCAGCAACAAATTAGGAACTAATTTTTGGACCCTGTACGGAGCCATCATGGAACACGATATGTGCATCGTGAGTAACATTTTGACGAGGAGAAATGTATACTTATGTTTATATATTATAATTATTATTATAAAATCTCTTTCAATTTCTAGCAAAAGTATCCAGCTGACTGCACAGACTTCCACGAAGAGGAGATCCGAATTACCACAGAAAATATTCACAGTGAACTTTAATATTTTTTAATTTAGTGTACCTTGTGAGAGACGATTCACGATTTTTAAAGTCAATTTAATGAATACACAGCCGTATCGCGCGACTGTTTATTCTTATCTATAGTTTATAAGATTGTTGTTCGTTAAGGAAAGAATGATGTTCTAAAAAAATATCACAGGACAAAGTTGAAATGTCTCTGTTTCCTTTTAAGTGTACATAGAAGAACGCGATAAGGAACGCGATCGTCGAATAAGTAGATCATTAATTTTATGAATATTTTATTTATCCTGAATTTTACGTGAGAATTATTTTACCTTCTCTTATACACATCGTGTAACTTTTTCGGTTTCACAGTGCAAAAGATTTTCTTGATCAATTGTGCAGTCACTAGCGATCAAATATATGTATACGCCACTTATTTGTATATTTTATTTTAATTCGCTTTTGTATTTATTTATTTTCTTTTTTTTTTTTTTTTCAAAGAGATCTATAAAAATTTTATCTTATGAGAAGAAGAAGAACACGTGTAAGAAGGCATGTATTACACTATAGATACGTATTCATTAAGGCATCGTAAATTAGAGCTTAGAAAAGCTCCTTCCATGAAGGACGGAAGTTGATTGACTAGTAAATCCATTTACGTTGTCTGTTAACAGCTTTTGTAAATATTAGATAAAAGCCAAATAAAAAGTATGTTGAATGTATGAGATATATTGTAAGCTGTTCGATTTTTTAAGACGCTTATGCCAATATTACTTTCTTTTAATGTTTTTGCATGCCCATTCAAGACCTTCCTGTGAAATCATAGAAGATTTCGTCAATAATTTAACCAGAACTTACTTAATTTTAATTACTCGATTACTTAATTAACTTAATATAATGTAATGCAACATTTAAATATATAATTAATATATTTAAATATATTTAAGTATAATTGATTTACCTTGACGCCTTTTCCGTCAATAGCGATGCACGATTGTATCTGCCAATCGCGATCTTTGATATTATGTAATCCAAGGCCTTCGGCAATTTCTGCTGCTGTGACTGCTTGCCCAAGATCTTGTTTATTCGCATAAACTAATAATGGAACACCTTTCAATTTTTCTTCCAATAAAAGTTCTGATAGTTCTTGACCTGTTTCCTCTAATCTCTTTATATCCGCGCTATCCACGACATATATCTTTGTAAAAAGAAAAAAAAAAAATTAACGCATCTCTTTTGTGACGTGATGATGTTTGGATAATTAAAATAACTTACTAAAACATCCGTATTTTCAAAATAATTTCGCCAATAAGGTCGAATTTTTCGAGCACCTCCTATGTCCCAGACATTCAATTTAAAACCTTCGCTTTGAACACTTTTTATATTAAATCCTTGTGTCGGTGTTACCTTTAATAAATAATGAATTAGTAATGTAACGAGTAATTAATTATAATATAAATTCATAACAATGGTAATTCATATAAATGATACCTGTGTAATATCTTCACTGGCCAATGATTTTAAAATTGTTGTTTTTCCTGCATTATCCAATCCTAAAAGGAGCAATCGTAATTCTTTATCTGGATTGGAACGTAATTTTCTCAAAATTGATAAAAGTCCCTGTTAAAAAAATAAGAAAATGTCTTGTTATTCATATATAATATTTATAGGATTCAAACATTTAAATTTAAATCGCGCGCGCGTTAACCTAGCAGACGAAATTGCTTCGAGATGGCAGTGCTGCACTCGTACGGAATGTGTGAATTTGTTGTCGAAAATTTTATTAATTTTTTACTAATATATGTTTATTTGAAATATCAAAATACAGAATAAACGATAAGTAGAATTAAATAGATAATGATTGTTTATGAAATATATTGTGATAATGTTAGTTATGTTTAAACTCAAGAGTGTAGTTGTTATTAGGTTATGTTTCAAATATTCGTGTTCTAGGAAAATGTTTTTTAAATGATATTGAAAAATGCATATTATTATAAAGTGCATTAAAAATTAATTTTCTTTGTTTTCTTACCATTTCTCGTTGTTATTTATGAAACGGGAGCAAAAAATGTGGCAATAGTTTACCACGTCACGTCAATCGTTCTGTTACCGTCCGTCGAATTTATTGTGTTGTTGTCTTTCGTATCTAAGGAAACTGATGGTACCTGCGTCATTTGACCAATAATCTTTCACGGTATATATTTGCATAGAGACATAAATTAACGAATGTACATTTATCTACTTTTGTATCGCTCAATATTAAATATAGGTTTAAAAAAAACTTACAAGTCTATATATATATAAAAAAATGTATTTTGTTTTTAGAAACATGACATTTTATTATGCTGGTTTTAATACCAGCATGTTATTTTCTAACAATGGAAATATTATCTTTATAGTAGATACGTTTACTAAAGTATCATTTTCTGGAATTACCGGTTTTCAAATAGGCTGGAGTTATTTTCTTATTTGGAAAGGGAAAGAATTATATATCTCTCAAAAATTTGAGGAAAATAGCAAAGAAACAGATTCAAATTTTCAACTGATACGACCACTAGAAAAACCATTAGATAGGTACATTTAGATAACTAGACTAGAAAATTATACATTCAAATCTGAACTTTATTATTTATCTTTATCTATAGTATAAATCAAGCTGCAATTGGCAAAGATAAAATAGTACTTTTATTTGATGATAATGAAATATGGCAATATAAAATCTATGAAAAAACATGGAAAAAAGTTATCAATTTCATTTGCAATAGTAATGATTCAGAAAATGAATATCCTGTTAAAATAATACAAGAAGAATGCGCTGTTGTTCTTACTAATTTAGGTATATTTTGTAATACATATAACAAGTAATAAAATTTGTATACGCATTGAAAATATGATTTAGGTCGAGTTTTTAATATTCCTACTCTGATTGATATTCCAAAGAGAGTTCGATTCATAGATATTGCATGTGGATTTGATCACACTATCTTGTTAGCAGAGAATGGTGACCTTTATTCAATGGGAATGGGAACGTATGTATCATTTCGATTCTACATTGTTCCACAAATTAATACAATCAAAGTAAAATGAATTGATTCATACGAAACAGGCGTGGTCAATTAGGACACAACGATTTAGAGGATTGTGACAACCCAAAACTCGTTGAAGCTTTAGCTGGGATCAAAGTAACGCAAATTTCAGCTGCAGGTTGGCACAGTGCTGTAGTAACAAATCAAGTGAATACTCTTGCAATAAATAGGTGGAATCGATAAAGATACTTTTTAACGATCATTTTTAATTACAGGGTGACCTCTATACTTGGGGATGGAATACGAACGGAGAATTGGGATTGACTAATCAAGAGAGTAAAGTAATTGCTGTGCCTACATTGATAGATTTTACAAATGATAAAAACGAAAGCGTAGAAATTTTTGTGGAAAAAGTTCAATGTGGAAATACGTTTACGATTTGTATGACGAGTACGTATGACGAGTAAAAAAAATAATATTATAAATAAAAGAGGATCAATTCTGCAAGTCATTAAAGTACAGAATTATCAATTAAATAATATAATTAATTGTTTAAATAAATATGAAATTCATTTTCAGATGATGGAACATTTTGGGGATGTGGATGTAACAAGTATGGTCAATTAGGACAATCTCCGGAAAAGCTTGCAAATTCAATGAAGTTTATCAAACTCGATACCTCTGTAATTCCCGGAACTATTAAAGATTTCAAGTGTCGTGAATGGGGTACAATCCTTATAACAAATTGATATTACAATTTTTAATAGTTTTAATAGTTAAGTCTGTAAAAAAGAAAGGAGAGAATAAAATATTTTTTAATAATTTATGTTTTTGATTGATTGATTTGCATTCGCTTCAAAATAGTACGATGCCTCTTTTGCTTCTATTAATGGTAGAATAAATAAACGATTGCATTTCAATTGCATTTCATCGTCCAAAGAAGGTGGAGGGGTTGGAGGTACTTCGTGAATTTTAGCTGTAAACATAGAAATCATACAATTCGTTTTGTTTTTAAAATATTTTTTTAAACTAAAGAAAAATTTGCATTACCTTTTTTTTTATCAACTTTTTTAAGCTTTTGTAACAGGTCGTTTTTTCTTAGAAGTTTTTGCAATTGTATGTTGAAAGGAGTTATCCTATACTCAGCCGGTTTCATCAGACGTGGACTTCGGATACTAAATGGCAAATTATAAGTCTGCACTTCAATTGGCTCAACGAAAACTGCGTAAACGAGAGCGTATCGTAATTCATTCGCGTACCTGTTCACCGACAATTATTATTTCTTTTTTTTTTTTTTTCTATCCTAATCTTATCTTGCTTTTTAAACTAAATGTTTCATTTTAAAAAATGAACTTACATATCGTAAGTGGTATCAATTATGATATTCAAAACTAAAACGGGATCGATGTTGCTTAAGAATTTCATATCTCCTTGCGAAGTGAATTCTTGTAAACTTCTCGCAAATGTATATTCCAGCTATTATTAAAAATGGACAATAAAAATTTACGCGGCTGGATGAACCTACCTTTTCATCGATTCATTCTCCTCCGTCTCTTCTTTCATTTCATACATTTCGTCCCAATACGGTATTCGATTCTGTTGAGATATTTTGTTACCAACTATGATAAAAATATTCTTCATCTCTTGAAAAAATTCTTTCCTTGTACACTTCTTATCTTTTATAAATAAATCATAAGTAATATGGATAATAATGTAAAAAAAAAAATAAACAAATAAACTCAAACGTTTTTGTAATCTCGTTACCTCGAAGCAATTTAATTTCACCGGCCAACCAACTGATCAGAACAGCCATGTAATACTCGTCGAGTTCCTCTTTGTAACGTAGCATATAAAAGGCCAGAGTATCCAAAAACCAAAAGGACGCCATATTCGTGGCGTAATCGGTAATCTCGAGGAGTTCACCTAACAATCTGTAGAAAAGAAAAAATTTGCATATATTTCAATTCGATATTTCGATTAGCTCGTATTATATCATTCTAACCTAATGAGATCTCGAGGTTTGTCGTTTTCGACATTGATCGATGTGTCGACCAGGCATTTGAACGTACGCGGAAGTGTTCGCAGAAACTTTTTGGGAAATTCATTGCAATTGGTTTCATGAGTCAACTCTGATTCTGTTTGCTACAATTTTATAAGCAATATAAATTTCGCGAATTCACAATCGAAATCAAATTTTATCCAACTACAACAAAAAAAAAAAAGAAATAATGGAAATAAAATGTAAATGTTCGATAGCGGAAGAATAAAATATATAATATTTTAATTAAAAACCTCGTGTGATTGATCGTTAAAATTCATCCTTAAGA